ATTTTTGGCCCTAAACTAAGGCAATTAATGTTCCAACATCATAAGGAGTGATTGTATGAAATTACATTAGCAAATCTTCAATATTTCCAGAGGGAATATTTAATGTTGTATAGCAGCATTATGCACACTGTAAAAAAAATTTTCTGTGTTGTTCTTACATGCAGATCTATTTATTAAGAAAAATTGTGAACATCTGCTGTTCTAACATAGGGTTGTTTGTTTTTGTAGGTAACATATTGTTAATAGAAGATGAGCCAGACGAAGAGAAGAGACTAACAGTAATTGATTGGGAATATGGCAGCTATAATTACAGGTAAGAAAACAGGTATTCCCCACTTCTCAAAGTAACATTACCCTCATTTCAAGAAGATTATAAGTGTTGGAATTGCAAAAAAAGTACTTTAATATGTGTGTAAGATTTTTTTATGTTTTTTTTTTTGTTTACAGAGGATTTGATTTTGGCAATCATTTTTGTGAGTGGTCTTGTGATTATTCATGTGAAGAGTATCCATATTTCTCCTATCATCCCGAGGATTATCCCCCTACACATAGACAGGTCAGTGCCATAGACTATAGACTTATTTTATCATTATATTGATCCTACAGGGAGCAAAATGACAGCTGTCATCTTGCTTTTTCTTCATTCTGTAAAGTGAAAGGATTTTGTAATGTTACAGTAAACATATTATATTGAAACATTAACTTTATGTGTGGAGTCTCACACCTAGAAATATACATCATTAAAAATTTCCCATATATGTGCTGAAATGGTTTCACATATGCAGTATTTATTTTAAACATTGGTTCTTACATACCTAATCTAGGAATGTTATTTGTCACAGTACATTTCAAGTTTCTCTTTAATTACCGTCTGTATTTTTATTTGTTACAGTATGAGTTTTTCCGTAAATATCTTGTGGAGCAAAATAAGATCCTGCCCGTTCCTGTGGAGATAAATGAGGAGACATTAAAACAAATGTACAAGGAAGCCAATATCTTTGCTATGACATCTCATTTCTTTTGGGCTTTGTGGTCCATTGTTCAGTTAGAAATTTCAGACATTGAGTTTGGATACTTGGTAAGTAGGAGTTCTTATTACAAGTAAAATATGATTTTATGGCAATGTATTGATATTTTTTCTCATTATAATTCATTTTGAGGCGTGGAAAAATCACTTGCCAATTACAGGTGTATTAAAAAGATTATCTATCTACACGTAATTACGTAAAGAATTGTTTTGAAAGGAATCTTTGAAATGTGTTATCACCTTGCATTATTTTAATATTTTTAGGAGTATGCAATCACAAGGTTTGAGGGCTACTTTGCAAAGAAAGAATCCAATGCAAAGGAAGGCCTTATCTGATTGATTGAGCATTGAGTCCATGGAAACCAAAGATGGATACAACTCCAGTGCCATAGACAGGGCTCAGTTCAGCGCCATCTACGAGAGTTGCAGTCCTTCCAACTACAGTTGTCTTTCTTTTTTAATTTTGTTTTTAAAACATTTTACTTTTTATACGCCCGTCTTAAGACGGGACGTATTATGTTATAGGCTTCGTGTCCGTCCGTCTGTCCGTCTGTCTGTTAGCTTTTTCGTTTCCGGCTCATAACTTTAATACTACTAGGCCTAGGATTACCAAACTTTGTCATCTGATGCATCTTGGGTAGAAGGTGTGTCGCGCACAAAAAGTAGGTCGCTCTGACCTTTAATTAAGAAGTTATAGCCAAATATGGAAAAATCCTTTCCGGCCCATAACTAGAAAACCATAAGACCTACAATCATCAAACTTGGCCAGTTTATGCATCTTAGGTAGAAGGTGTGTCACGACCTATTTCAAGGTCACTGTGACCTTTAATTTAAGTGAATTTTTAAAAAAAAAATGTGTCTTTTTACTATTCATTTACACATCCCAAATAATGTAAGAGTATTGCACTGTTCTTATTAAAAAAGTGTTAAATCAGGAAAATACTTATTTTTTTTAAGCATATACTTGACAGCAATCTAAAACAAATATAATGTATGTTAGAGAAATCCCATGTCTCCCATGAGTGTAATTATCAAGCACTGGTCAAGAAGAATTTTGATAACAGAAAATTGCATGTCAAATTAGAGAGAAATTAATGGGTTTTGAGTGCGAGGAGCTATTGACAGAGCATTGGCGTTATCTATATCCCTTGAGAATTGGGCAAATTGGGTAAGCCTGGCTGTTTGATTAAAAATAGCTCTTGTTGACTAGCTTAAGTTTTGAAATGAATTTGATGAAAAGTAATTAAAATTAATTTGATATTGCATAATAGACTAATCTGATATTATGTAATATTATTAATTTAAAAACTAATTTTTTTGGGGTGGGGTTGAATCAGCATGTCCATATGAATTACATACTAAAACCTGTCGGACATTAAATCTCAACCAAAAAAAAAAAAATCTGAGAGTATTTTATATGTTTTTAAAAACATATTATAGTGCAGACCCATTCATCTCTTGGTAGTAATGAGTAGACAAGCATCCAGTTAAAGATTAATTAATGAGTTCAATGTAGGAAGGCTAGCTGTCTCAGTCGCTCTGATTAAGCAGCCCTTTGGGGATTAGACAGAAGAACTGCTGGTCAGTTTATAACATATGTCATTTGATGGCCAGCCTTTTCTTTCAAAATTAATTTGGTATAGATTAAGTTGTTAAGACTAATTTGATGATGGGCATTTGACAAGGTCTTACACAACCAGCACAGAAATCTATCAGTGATGTAATATTTATTATAATTGATGCCTACATCACAGGGGATGGATAAATGACAAATCATCGAAATCTTAGAATCAAGGTTGATGTGATTTTCTTGCACCTAAACTGTTCAAGAAAATTGTAATTTTTTGACGGGCGTATCATGCTGTGGCGCGGCACTTTATTTTTAATTGTATGGAAATCCACTGTCCAATATTAATATATATCAGTGGAGAAAATTATGGACAGAATATTGTATACATGCATTATGTTTTATAATAAAAATCAACTCGAGACGTGTTAGTTCTTTTCATAGTATTAATTTTGAAGTGCATTATGAGGCAATTTTGGAGAGTACAATTTTGTCTGAGGAGAAATTGAAGAGGGCTTGTACTATGGTCGTTTGTGTAGTGTGCATAAATATCTTTCAAATTGGACTTTGTTTCATCAGCCCTGTGGCCAATATTCATAAAAAGATTCACGTAGCATCCTTGGATCTACAACTTTTTTTAAAACGAGATCTATGTAACCATTTACAAGGGAAATACCAAAAATAAAAACCTCTAAAATCATGACCAACTGTCAGATATCTTATCCAATTTGCAAATATGCTCTAAGCTGAAAACTTGAACAACTTGGATTACAACTTGCTACAGAGTTGGTTAGTGACCAAGAAATATCTACTGTTGATATGGGAGTTAAGGACCACAATCCTCAACAGTGCATGGACATATGATTTTATGTAAAATATATGGACCATTTGACCCTTGGAACTCAAAACTAGTTACAAATTTGGAGAATACCATCAAACTACACATTTTTTCCCCTCATACTTCCTACAGAGTGCATGCAGCACAGAGAAAGACTTCACACACAAGACGAAGAAGTCATAGGTCAAGGACAATGTTTGGTGTTCACTTCTGATGAGAAACTGTTCTTCATATGCTCCTCTTTGCATTATCCTTGATAAATTATATTTTTTTGTATTTATAAATAAATCACATTCCTTTGAAAAACAGAAATATTTTATTGACAAACTTGAACAACAAGGTCATTTTCTACATCTATAAATACTGTGTTCATGAAAAGACAACATTATGTGGTGACTGGAATGTCTAATGTCCACAGATACATATATTGTGCCGCCATTACAGAAGAAAAATGGATTTGTCAACAAGTTTTAACTTGCAAGGTTATCACAAAACATTAACTTTTCTCGAGGTCATAAAATAAATCAAAATTCAGCTTGGACGGATTATATTAGTATAAACCGAAAGAACACAACATTTGACACACCACAAATATATATTAATTAAACATAAATTAATTAAAATAAAACTTGGAGGTAAGAAAAGTTATATTAGGGCATATTTTTTGTGAAGTTACTGTCAGATTTTCAGAAAATATGGAATGTATATTTTTTCCTTTTAATATATCAAGGAATGAGACAGAATTCAAAAACTTGTTAGTTAATGAATAAAATCTGTGCAATCTATTCCCTCTGGACATGAACTTTAAAAAGACAAAATCATAAATGCTTATAATATCCATAAAAAGAAACCTGACTCTTCAATTTTTTTTCCCTCTAATAGCCAAATGTATGTTTTTATATTTCATCATGAAAAAGGAATGCCAGCATTAATGGGATTTGTTTGTGGACAATGAATAACTAGCACTTTTAATTGTTAATAAATTGCACCCAAGTATCCAAACACTAACACAACTTTCTATCATAAACTAAAAATAAAACATTAACTTATTAAAACAAACAGATTGTGTAAGATCAATGTAATACATATGTACCTAATCTAAAATCACAGAATGTAAAATAAATATAAAATGCAATACAAATGTACATATCATTGACTCATCAATAAACTAATGTTTCTGTAAAAATTATACAACTGATTCAATAAAATTTGAAATGATCAACAATCGACAATGTCTTGGACGGATTTCATACATTTTATGAAAGACAATTTCATGGCCTTTACTCCCAGGTCTGATATTTATCAACAGTGATTACAAAAAAGGAATATTTAATTATCACAGTTGAGTTGTCTACACCATACTAAAGAATTGCCAAAAATTTCAATGTATACTACTACTAAATATAGAAAATAATTATCACATGCACCACTTGCGCATTAAAAAAATAAGATGTTACCAGGGTTATAACATTTTTGAAACCTTTCTTCAAATACAAAGAATAATTTCTTTAGATAGTAGTAACATAATCATCTAATTGTGAACACATTGCAAATAACCATAACTTAATGAAGTTCATTTAATTTTATCAGGAGAAGTATTGTATGTATTTTCTCAGTAACTAATCACATGATACTGGAAATGTCATGAGATACATGCATTGACACCCTGTATAAGATATTTAGACATGCCCATTGTTCTATACCCATGAGTGATCAATCTTAAAATCAAGATCACCTGTAGGTATCCAATACCTAGAAGTGAAGTTTTGACTTCATTAGCTACTGTACAATTGTATATGATAAGGAAAGATACCTTTAAACAAAAGATACAGTTGGCAAGAACATCAGAAAGTTACATCAAGCTGAAGAGATGACAATACTGATTTTACTTAAACTCGGATAAAAATAGAGGACTATTGCTGATAATATTTACATGACTTCATTGACTAAATGTGTCTCAGTGATATATCTTTTTATTCCCTGCTTTTTCTTTTAAAACATTTCAATGAATGACAATTAAAATCACTTCACCTATGAGAGGTTAACATCAGCTCCTTACAAAAATCACCCAAATTCCACTATCAGCAATAAACGTTGGGTCAAACAGAAGTAAAAAGTCTGTAATACAAAAAAAGATTGCATCTTAACCCTTAATCTCTAGAGTGACATAAGATTGGACCTTCATCACAAGGGGCCGAGGCCATTTTTCTTCTTTTTGCCCTTTTTAGTGTTAACAGCGGGCAGGGCATCTAAGCGTGTGGGTTTTCGGACCATGGCGTCCTCCTGCAGTAACTGACCGTGGACGGCAGCGGCCCGGAGTCCGGAGCTCATTGGGTCCTCTGTCATGTGACCGTTGGTCATGGATCCTCGCGGACTCTTCAAGCTGTACGCATCCTTTACTTCACTGATATCTAAAGGAGATATTTACTTACTTTAACAGAAATGTCAATGTGTTGTTAAAATACCTATTTTCTATTATCAAATTGCTATAAAGAATTTAAATTTTCTATTCATTTAATACATAACATTATTTAACATTTTCCATTTAACAGGATATGGACTAATGTTACTTACCTAATTGCCATTGCAGCCATATGACTGCTAACTTTCCTACTCTTATAAATATGTCTTGAATCTGATTTCTTTTAAACAAGAGGCCCATGGGCCACATCGCTCACCTGAGTAACTTGGGGAATGCAGTTCTTTAGCAGATTCCCCCTCTTGCTATACCTATCGTGCCCTCCCTACCCCCTCCCCTTATATGATTCTAATACTTTAGAATCTACACTACCCAAGGATGCTTCCACATAAGTTTCAGCTTTCCTGGCCTAGTGGTTCTTGAGAGATTTTTAAAGATTTGTTCTATATATTTCTTTGTAAAACTTGCATTCCCTATTGTGGCCCCGCCCTATCCGCGGGGGTCATGATTTTAACAATTTAATATCTACACTACCCAAGGATGCTTCCACATAAGTTTCAGCTTTCCTGGTCCAGTGGTTCTTGAGAAGAAGATTTTTAAAGATTTGTTCTATATATTTCTATGTAAAACTTGCATTCCCTATCGTGGCCCCGCCCTACCAGCAGGAGTCATAATTTTAACAATTTAATATCTACACTACCCAAGGATGCTTCCACATAAGTTTCAGCTTTCCTGGTCCAGTGGTTCTTGAGAAGAAGATTTTTAAAGATTTGTTCTATATATTTCTATGTAAAACTTGCATTCCCTATTGTGGCCCCGCCCTATCCGCGGGGGTCATGATTTTAACAATTTAATATCTACACTACCCAAGGATGCTTCCACATAAGTTTCAGCTTTCCTGGCTCAGTGGTTCTTGAGAAGAAGATTTTTTAATGACCCCATCCTATTTTTGTCTTTTCTTGATTATCTCCCCTTGGAAAGGGACCTAGCCCTTCATTTTAACAATTTAATAACAATTTAAACTCCCCCTCACCCAAGAATGCTTTGTACCAAGTTTGGTTAAATTTGGTCCATTGGTTCTTGAGAAGAAGTGGAAAATGTGAAAAGTTTACAGACAGACGGACGACGGACAAAATGTGATCAGAAAAGCTCACTTGAGCCTTCAGCTCAGGTGAGCTAAAAAGGTAATAATGTTTAAGAAATAAAATCCTGAAATGTTAAGAAGGAGACAAGACATACTGAATCTGTTGATTGGTTCGTTAGACTGGAGAAGCTGGCTGGCTCGTTTTCCCTGGAAATATTTACTGGAGTTGTCCTCCCTCCTCATGATTTTCTGAAAATAGCAATTTGAAATTATTTTGAAACAATTTTTGATCTTCAGAATATTTAGTATAATAAGTAAAGAGTGTAAAGGGATGATCAAATGGCAACATAGTTGTTAGATTTCAATTGAACATTACAGATGGTAAAATTGAGTGCAAATTGATAAACAAATTAAGCTTTATAAGACTAAATGGGTATTTATGGTTGATAAGCTATGACTGCAGTAAATATATGACACTTTATTTAAGTGAGCGTCTCAGAGAAAACCATGCAAAATGGCAAAAATGGTCCACAAGCTTACATCTCAAATATTTTAAAACTGGTATAAAACTGGAAGAGCATCCCATGAAAGTCCAAATTTTGAATTCAATTACCCCTCAATGTTGTTCTATTTTTAGCTTTGACCTATTTTATATAATGGCCCAAATATCCCTTGAAAATTGTGAAAAAAATACTAAAAACGATATATTTTGAGTACCAAAATATGAAAATAAGAGAACAATTCATACAAACTTTGTATTTATATGTAAGTTATCTATGTCTTATTCTTTCAATAAAACAAAGTTGCTTTGACAGTACTGCTTTAATAAAGGTTAGGTAGAATTTAGAAAACTGGCATATCTACACCTTTGCTAGATGCCTCAGAAAATGCCAAATTTGAATTAGGTATAAATATACCCGTAAACGCTTGTATTTTCTCCTTTTTACTAGATTATAAAACTAGAAGACCTAAATCAAATCTGGAAAAAAATCCATCTTTGGACTCTCAAGGTTTACTGCACAATTGATTAACATTGACCCATACATTTATGGAATAAGCATATTCTAGGTCATTCTTGAATTTATCTATATTTTAGACATTTAGATCCTAAACGTTTCTAAAATTTTGAATTAATTAAAAAAAATATTTTCTGGCCATAAATACTTGTTAAATCAATATATTCCTTGTTTAAATCGGGTAGATAAGTTTTGTGTCTATGAAAAAAATTATGAGATTTACCTCCCCTTAAATGCAATCTCCAGGCAGAGGAGGTAGAAAAGAGAAGGGAAGTCAAATGGAGGTCAAAAACAGTGATCATGATGAGTTTGGTTAAACTTTTAAGATCTATGTGGTCAGATCATTTTAACCAGAATGACTTCCATTATTTTTATTGTTGATTTGATTTATTTATAATTGGAAATGGAGGTTCATTTGCAAGCACCACCTGTGTGTGACTTTCATGATGGTGAATCTGATTGTGATTTTGCCGAAATGTTTCATATTTATGAATGTGACAGAGATATTTTGAACCATCTATATTCTCTGCAAAGTGCAGAAATTATACACAAGCATGTTTATGATGCCCAAAAATGCCCTGAGTATATGTTAATATTATATCGAAGTGGGTATTTCACGGTTGATAAAACCGTTCTATCGATGAAAATATGCATAAAGCACCGTGAAGAGTTGGGGGCAAGATGGAAAAGACCCAGGCGAACCTGTTCTTATCCTAGTCATCAGGGAAAGATAAAAGCAGACAGAGGAGCCAGTCCAACGTTGTGCAAAGAACTGTGGTTAAAGACAAAACAAATATTACCAGTAGGATCAGGTTGGTTATAATTATTGTGAACCTAGTTATCAATTTTTCAATAAATGATTATTTTAAAAGTGCATTGAATTATGTAATGAAAGAGTGGAATAAATCTACAGTAAATAATTATAAATTCAAGAAAAATAAAGAGCTTATACATGAAGTAATTTGAGAAAATGACAAGTGATTTACAAACAGATCACTGCATGCAAGTAAAAAGACTTATATGGTATGTTAGAAATTTATTTGAAAATTACATAAACCATTATAATTTTTTTAAATGAAAAAAGGAGATTGTCATTTAGGCCCATTATTGGAAACTGCATTAAATGTTGTAATCTAAATTAAGACACTCATTGAAAGCTATATAATAAAATATTATCTATAAAAACTGTGTACAACAGGTGATCACTATTTATAATACATATGTTAAGCTTAGGAAATTTAATGGAATTGAATTTAAAAATAGTGATGTGTATATGCCTTAAATTAAGTTCTGTTTAAAAGAGTGTACTTGTACTTTGACATAATGTGCATTATTTACTTGTCTTGTAGCAATATGCAAGAGGTGCTCAATGGAACATAAGAAGAATGTCTCTCCATCTTACAATTTAGAGTTTGTGGAAGAACTTGGTAATTACTAATATTATATTTGTTAACTATACATTAGCTAGCTAATATGCATATTGCACAGAGATACATGTAACCAATTTTCAGATTCTAAATGCATGGCCATGGGGGGGGGGGGGTTATTACTAGGAAATAATTTTCCCCATGTATAGAATACTGTAGAAAAATTAGCTACTATATATATATACATGTGACCCCTCACAACTGATGACTTTTTTTTAGCCTGTTCAAGAAATTTTTGTTAATTGATAGTGCCCCCAACTCAAACTGATTGGCCTTGCTCCCCTTTCCCCCAACTGAAATTGCTTTCTATGAGCCTGAAATTTTAGGAAAAAAAATTGAGAATGACAAAGGGTTCTTTGCTTAATGATTTTATACATATAAGACAAAATCCTTTGTTAAGTAGAAAGTACTTGGACATTTTTTATAAAACTCATGAAATTCTGAAACTTCAGTGCTGCATGTATATGATATGCAATATAGCATGTATATGGTATGCAATATACCTTGCTAGTTTAGTACATTATTGCACAATGGCATGCAACTTGTGCCATTCCTGACAAATTGAATTTTTTTTTATTAAAAAAAAGTACATATTTAGAAGATCACATTATTTTACTTTCAGAGTGGTGTGAACAAATTTGTACAACAATTAGAGGCAAATGCACACAGTCAAAAATTCAAGGTAAAATATTTTTCATTGTTTTATGTTGATAATGTATGTGATTATTCACTATTGTGTTATCATCATTCTTGCCATTCTTTCTGGAAATTACTTTGTAAGTAGACTACATGACTTTATTTTGGACATCTAATTGTATTCCAATGAAAATTTACTATAAAGTTCTCAAGATCTATTGTTTTAATAATACAGGAAAGTATGTCTGGCAAATTCAGAAGATATCATATACAATAATCTGTGCTTTGATCCATTTATCATTTATAATCTCTATAAATTTAAACCACTTATAAAGTAAATTTATAGCATAAATGTAAGGAAATTGAATGAATTTGGTTCATTTCATTAGGTGAATGTCTACAGTCGCACTTGGTGGATACCCAAATTGTTGAAAATGAACAAGGAATGGCATTTGAGATTCAGGATAAAGACAGTATGTATACTTGTATGAATGAAAATAGTACATCTTACCAATGTAAAAAAGCCATCAATATGGTCATAGAGGTACATGTAACTAACTCTATAATGCCACAATAAGTCAGAACGATTAAATTTTTGTTTCAAAGTAATTATCGTAAATTAAAATAAAATATAAATAGCAAGGCTAGACATATAATCTGTGCAAAATCTGACTTATCATTATGACAATTGACCATGATTTTTTAAGGGTTAAGTTTATTTAGTTAAATTCATTCTTATCCAAAGTCATATCTGATTGCAGTAAAAGTAGAATCAAGAGAATATATTAACTTTATTCTATCAATATACTGTATTCATTCGATATTACATGATCAATTCATTATAGGTGTACCATGTTCACAAGAAATTTTCACAGGGAGTTTAACTACAGACATGGAGTTTGAGATTTCCTGTGAGTATTTGATACTGCCAGAAATCACTTACATGTAAACTTAGTATTTTATTTAGTGTACTATATTACTTCAATTTATTAGGGCCCCACTCTGTGGGCACCCCATAGTGATCAGTCTGCCTGTCCTTCCATCCATCCGTCCATCTGTCCATCCCAGATCCCTTGTCCGGAGCATATCTTCTCTCTCCTAGTCCTTGGCCCAATCATTTAAAGGTGTCCTTGGCCCAATCAGTTAAAGGTGTTCAATGACCTTGAACCATGTTTCTAGGTCTAAGCCTAAGGTCAAGGTAATAGCAAAATTATATGAAAAATCTTTCTCTAGAGCATATCTTCTCTACCCTTGTTCCAGTGGGGCTAATATACTTCACCCAAAGATTGCCTTTGGGTAAAAGGTGTGCAGTGACATTGAACCATGTTTTTAGGTCTAAAGTCAAGGTCATAGCAAAGTTACATAAAAAATCCTTCTCCATAGCTCATCTTCTCTACCCTTGATCCAATGTGGCTCATACGTATACTCACAGCGTTTGTTCAAATCATGACCCCCCAGGGGTAGGATGGGGCCACATCTTAAAATCTTGATAACAATAGTTAAGCGATGATTTAGTAATATGGATTTGGAAGCATCCTCTTGTAGCATTTACACATTTTGTCTTACTTGCTTCTAGTTGGCATTGTAGTATAAAACTAATTAATTTAACAATTAATTTTTCTTTCCAGCCACAGGTTCCTGTACCCCATCCCTACCTTCTTCTCAGGACTGGTATGAAAAGAACAAAACACCGAAAGAAAAACTAAATGAAGCTTTGCAGAGACTTGCAGGTAAGAAGAGTTATTACATGCAAATCATGACCCCCCAGGTAGGATAGGGCTTCAATGGGGGATCAAGTTTTTACATACAAAATATATATACATATATATATATATATATATATATATAGAGAGAGAGAGAGAGAGAGAGAGAGAGAGACAGAGAGAGAGAGAGAGAGAGATGTTAATCGGTCAATATTTGATAATCAGTTACTCGGACGTTTTTTGGATCAAGTAATCGGGTACTCGGTAAAATTGTAAATACAAGTCTGTTAATTTTCTTTTAAACCCCAATGTTTTTTATTACGCTTTGAGTGCATGTTTAAAAACATCGAGTTCAATGAAAATGATTTATTGTACTTGATTGATTTATTTTAAAAAATACACACAAACAAAACATATCACTTTGATACACCGATAGGACCGCAATAGGTGAGAAAAGCTGTATAACAGGTAATTGGTCACTAATTAGTGTATAAACACAGCCACAGGCGATAACTGGTGTTTTAAATGGGTAAGGGCAATGGCACTCTTATTATCGTATGCACATTTAAGTTATTTTTTGGTAATTTTTTGATAAAGATATGTACTTTGGAATATGGAAAAAAATTATACATCTGAGTAACTGAGTTTGAGTTTATTCTCATTAAGAACAAAGTCATGATCAGTCAGTCAGAAGCATCCATGTCAATGAATGTAGTGTAGAGTAGAATCAAGTTTGTTCAAATTATCCCCCCCTCCCCAGGGTAGGGTGGCGGACAAAAAAGAATTTGTAATCAAGAATAGCAAAGCCATTATGAGTCATATGAATATGAAAGTATCCTCAGGTAGTGAAGGTTCAATTTCATTTAAAACATGAACCCTGGGGGAGGGTGTGGCTAATGTGATCAAAGCTTTACATATGAATGTGTAGGAGAAGAAATCTGCTGATAAAGAACAGTAGGGCCATATTGACCTAGATGAATGATGTGGCCCATGGGCCTCTAGTTTGTGAATTCCAGTAGAGGATTACTCTCCTTATATAACAAATTACATTCTATATCCTAACAATGACTATTTTGCTTTCAGGAGATCAGTTTCAACCTCTAAAGTCCCAGCTTACAAGACCTTGGTCTGAATTAGCGAAGTCTGCAAAGTATTACTATATCAGCAAGGCTAAAGAAGCTGTAATGATAGTTCTGTCCATCATTGCCCCAGGACAAGAAGACACCATTCTTGCCAAAATCTGTCCAACATCTGAAAATGAGAGCAAAGAAATAGACAAAGCCACAAAACAGTTGATAGATGCCTATCATGCCACATCAGACAGAAAAACACAACAGCAGATCCTGTCATTGTTTGTAAACAACTTTACAAAGCAAAAGCTTCTTCAGCTTATACCATCTCTTACACAGTCCAAAATTGATGCAGCTAGAAAACATGCCTCAGTCATAGGACCAGGACAAATGCTGAATCCACCAAAGATATACAGAGTACGTCTGACCAGACCAAAACTGCTGCATTTTATTGAATATGTATCTATGCCCTCAGTTTCCCAGGTTCTTGGTTTTGGTGCCACACAGCTACATTTGTCAAGTGGAGAAAAGGTGCAGATTCCAAAGGTCATCAGAAATGCTGTGAGTGCCAGAATCATTGCAAACTATCAAGAGTATTGCAAGGAATCAGATTTCCAAACTTTTAGCCGTGCTTCATTGTACAGAATCCTCAAAGCCTGTCAAGCATCAAAAAGGAAAGCAATGCATGGACTTGACAACACCACAGCCCTTGGAATTGATGCCATGGAGTCATTACACACGGTTGTGACACGACTTGGTGAATACGGAATGGAGACAGAGAAAAAAGAGAATCTGATTGACATGATCAACATCTGTAATCAGCATTTGAAATTTGATGCAAAGAGTCATTTTAGCAGAAGTTCATCATGCAGTGATCATTGTACAATATATGCCCTGAGTGATCCAGCAGACACATGCTTTTCAAGTAATTGTGACCATGAACATTCAGACACTTGCTCTTATTGTGTTTTGACAGACAAACTTACAGAATGCATCAAGGAAGCCATGGAAACAGTTCAAATACCATCTGAGGATTTGATGGAGGAATTGCAGCATGAAATTGTCATGACCACAAAAGCCATCAAGGACTGGAAGGCTCATCTTCTCAGAACTGTTCATCAAGACTTTGCAAGATCAGATGTCTTACAACACCTTGACCTAAACCAAGGACTACTTATAATGGATTGGGCCATGAAATTCCTTCCTCTCCAGTACAGAGAAACACAGTCAAATTTCTTTGGAAAGAGGGGGATTAGTTGGCATATATCCTGTTTAATTACCCAGAGGAGTGACCCTGAAGCAACAGCTAGCACCTTGCCAGACCATTACGACTTGAACACCTTTATCCATATCCTCGAGAATGGAAATCAAGGTTGGTTTTCTGTTGCTCATATCATTATGCACCTCCTTCCAACTCTGTCAGAGCAATTTCCAAACCTTCAAGAGATCTTCCTAAAGACAGACAATGCTGGATGCTACCACTGTACACCATGAATTTCATTTGTCAGTCAGAATTACTGCCATTTTCCTATTACCATCAAAGAGTTCAACTTCAGTGAAGCGCAATCTGGGAAAGATCTTTGTGACAGCAAAACTGGTTCCTGTCGAATGCATGTGGCCCGATATCTGGATGAAGGAAATGATGTTCTGTCTGCCTCAGACTTGAAGAGAGCTTTAGAAAGCAATCATGGATTGAAAGGAACTAAAGCCTGTGTTATCTCCATTGACAATGCAGAGGAACCAAAAATAAAATCCAAAATCCCTCAAGTCAGCCTTCTGAACAACTTCGAATTTAACATGGATTCAATAATTGGGAGAAAGGCATACCAGGTTGGTTGTGGAAGACTCATTGAGACAAAACCCCTGAAAAATCAACATCTTGATGTGAGAGAAATGAAAGGTTTCCAGGTACTTGTCATAATTACAAATCTATAATCACTTTTGTATGGATTTACACAAATTATCTTAATAGTTGTTTTTTTTAAATTCTACAATATACAGTAGAAATGCTATTCTTTCAGTTAAGTATTACTAATGGATTATGGATTTTTTCTGGTATAGGTTTTAGAAGAATTTCCGTCACATGCAGTTGATACTGGACAAGTTTGTGTGAGAAAAAGAAACCCTAACAACAGAAGTGAAGCTGTCGATGAGCAGGACCAGGATCAGACACAACTGGAAAATGAATTGTATGCCTGTCCAGATCCCTCTTGTCAGAAACAATATCTGAGGTCTGCCAATCTCGAGAAACATCTTGCTCTGGGGAACCACCTGTACAGAAAAGCAGAGGAAACTGGGATTGATTCTGGAATAAGAATCTGGGCTGAGAAGTGTTCGGCCATTCGCGACAAATACACTCACATCTGTGAGACAGTAACCTCTCACAGTGATGATACCTGTTCCCAAAGTTCAGGAGGGTGGGCATTAAAATCTGTAAGTAAATGCCTCAGGTTCTCGCTAAATGTAAAAGACTATGTAAAGCAGATTTTTGAAAACTGTGAGAAGACAGGAAAACGCCCTAACTACGCAGCCTTAAGTGGAGAACTTAAAAAAGCTTCCGATGAAAATGGTTGTCGCCTCTTCAGGCCACATGAGTGGCTGACTGCAAATCAGCTAAGAAACTTGTTTGCATCTTACATAAATAATAAGAAGAAACAGTGCAAAGTCAGAGAGGGACGTACAGATTTTTCAGTTGAATTAGTGGATACAGAGAGCATTGTGAATGATGAACATCTCCAAGAAATTGTCATGAATCTCAAGGCAGAAGAACATCATCAGACTTTATCAGCTATGTATGAAAATGTGTTGAATGCTGTAAATACATAATTTTGTGCATCCATGGCAACCTTTCTGATAAATTTGTAGGTGTGAAAAGTGAATATTTTGCAAATTTATTCAAATAGTGTAAGATATTTCTCAAGATACAAATACCAATTCCAGCATTTCGTGAAATGCACTTAGCATATGAATATTATTAGCATATTTGTATTTCCAATTTAAACACTAGATATTTAAAATTTTGTTTTGTTTGGTAACCAATTGGTAAACATTTCTATGGTAGCTTTCATGCTATGTTAGTAAAAATTGTTCTTTCAAGTTTTGTATCTCCTTCACAACACAAATAATAGTTGCTTAAAGTCAGATATATATTTATATATATGTGTATTAGCAAAGGTAACGATCTAAAGTATTCCCATAGTATTCGAAGTCTAGCTTGCCTGAATATGTCAGAAAAATTGAAAAAAAAATGTTTATAAAAAATTATGTTTCCATGGCAACATTTGCATAATTTTCTTTGTTTTTGTACACCAATGTTTATTTGTAAACCATTTTTAATTTTAAATGTTTGTAAATACAGTCAAACCTGTTTTAAGAGGCCACTTGTGGGAGAACGACAAATTGGCCACATAAGACAGGTGGCCTCTTATTCCAGGTTTCAAACCATGGAATAAAAAATTGCGACCACAGTTGTATATTTATTTTCAAATGTATCCAAATCCACTATTTTAACATATTAAAAAACTAGGAAGTTTTAAGTCAAATGAGATCCTTTTTCTGCATTTCATTTTACATGAATTTAGGAAAGAAATCTATTATAATTGTTTTTTTGTTGTTGTTGTTGTTGTTTTGTGTTGGTAATTTTAATTTTAACAGCTAAATAGGAATAGAATTTACATCACACAAAATCATGAAATGTTCTAACAAAATACATGTAGCATTTCCCTGATGCTGTGCAAAGCTTTTTATTTTTTATTTTTCTAGATTTGTATTATATAGGGTTATAGCTCGAGACTGACCACTTGACTTGATAACCTCAGACGAAATTGTAAAATATTATTATGTGTTGAGTTAATATTATGAACTGTGACATATTCAACAGCTGTTCATCAACTTACTTTCGTAAATAAAGAGTAAAAAAAAATTGTAAACAATAAATAATTTAATAATTTAATCATATTAATTAAATCATTAAATCCTGACAGAATTCAAATTACACTCGAAATTATCGGTAATTACTTCATTATCAGCTGTTCATGTTTGGCTTCTCAAGGATACGAGGTCACGTGCCCAGACGGAAGTCATGTGACAAAACAGACAAAATGGCCGCTGAAAACAGGCATGTTGACCGCACGGGAACTAAAAACACTGGCCACTGGCCGCGTTAGACAGGTGGCCGCTTAAATCAGTTAAAATATAGTGAAAAAATGAACGGGCGGGATTGAAACTGGCCGCTCATGAGGAGTGGCCGCTGATTAAGGGTGGCCGTTACAGCAGGTGCGACTGTATAAGACTTTTCTTGATTTTCTGATTTAAGTGTAATGAATTAGTAAACTAATTTTCATCCTTTTCAAAGTAAATGATAGAACTCCAAGAATATGGTATTTCCATGGCAACATATTCTTTATTTTTACATGGCAAAAATACATTTCTTACAATTTTTAAACACTTTGCATTTTGTATATAAAAAAATGTTTATTAATATGATTAACTTTAACTTTTTCTGTTCAAATAAGTAACCGACCATTTGCTATTTTCAAAGAAAAAATATACCAAGATAATATCGTTACCTATGACAACATATATGTTCTGTATTAAAATGTTTTAGTCCTTTTTACATAGAATTGTGTTATAGTTGTCCTGTTTGTTCTGAAATATTATAAAGTGACATGCTGAAACATTTTGAGCTTATTTATGAATACTAGATATGAGCTATTTTAACCATTTTCATTACTGGTATGATTTGCAAAACGTCAAATTAAAGCATGACGTCATACCTATGCTATTTGAAAAAGTCCTACGACAGATTTTTTATATTTTTTTAATTATGGTATGTACTTCAATGTGTTATTACAATTAAACAAATTGCAGCGTTTACAGACCCTGTAAAAGTTATTTGAAAGTACCTAAATATTGAATTTTTTTGGAAATTTGAATTTTGGACGATTTGTGACCTTTTTGCACTTAGATTGGATAAGTACTAATTAAATTTTACTATCCTGAATGATACTCTAGGCAACATACTTTTATGCCTATCAATTAGTTTCAATGCATGAAATGTCATAATTTGATGAGACTTGCTCAAATATGTCTAGATTCCATGATTTAAAGCTTCTAATTGACAAGTTCTATTTTTAGTAACATGCCTCTAACTCGTGAACGGAGGCAAAAATAAAAAAAAAATGTGGCAAATTCAATGGTATATCAATACTACATTGCACACAAAAATTACATTTTTCAAAAAAATATTTATAAATAGGCAAACTAAAACTTTCCCCTGTAAAACCATGATTTGTAGTATGTCAAAATATAGCATTGTTCGTGACGTCATATCTATCCTACTTGGAAGAGTCCAAAGATAGATTTTTTATATTTTCCTAATTATGGTCTGTACTTTAAGGTGAAATTGCAATAAAATAAATTGCAGCGTTTACGGACCCTGTAAAAGTCATTTGAAAGTTCATAAAAATTGAATTTTTTTGGAAATGTGAACTTTGGACGATTTGTGACCTTTTTGCACTTAGACTGGATAAGTTCTGAATAAATTTTACTATCCTGTATGATACTATAGGCAACATACTTTTATGCCTATCAATTAGTTTCAATGTTTGAAATGTCATAATTTGTTGAGACTTCCTCAAATATGACTAGATTCCATGATTTTTAGCTCCTAATTTGACTACAAGTTCTATTTTTAGTAACATGCCTGTAACTCGTGAACTAAGGCAACAATGAAAAAAATACATGTGGCAATTTTAATGGTATATCAATACTATATTGCACACAAAAATTGATATCAATACATAAACCTTGCTTGTGGAATGTTTTGCATGGTTTTCTCTGAGACGCTCACTTAATATATTGCCTACAGTGTTCTCTAAGGTAATATATCAGTCACCTCTTTGAAGCGGTCCTCCTCGTTGTCATACATACTGGGCTGGATGTCTCCGTTAGACAGTCGGGGTCTACTTCTCCCCTCCATCGGACGTCCCCCAGGCATCACACCCTCTGAAAAAGTCATGTTTGTGTCAAAATATCTCAAGGTTTTGTGTCTTCACACATCTAACTTTTCAAATTCTCTTAGAATACTGAATATAGTTTTATGACAAGTTTTATTGTTTATAAGGCCATTTGCTGATCATTCTAATCAATACATTTGGAATGAATGCTTTTCCCCTTCGAAAATGTCTCAAGCCTTTTAAAATAATTGCAAGAGATGCTGAATATTTAAAATCAATACAGTACCAGGTTATCAATATATCTCAATATGGGCAAAATGACCAATTTATTACATTGATGAATGATTTATTAAATTCATGTATTCCAAGCTATGTAAGGAAAAGGATCGAGAAATAAGTTAATTCTACAGAGCATTACATATAAAATATGGAAGTATTAGTTATAGTTAAATCTTAGAAATTTAAAATAAAATTATTGACAAATATACAAGAAATGATGACAGATCACTCTTATATTTGTGCTTCTTATACAGTATAAAGTGCTCCACATATTTTTTCAGGCCATGCAAGCATCGTTGTGGAATGTTATACAAGTCTAGTTGGATACTCTACGTACGATAAGATATGAATGCCAGTTTGTGGTAGATGAATATAAAGCAATGAATGCTGTGACTGATATTTCAATTAACAATTGTACTTCTGCATTTCATAAAACTCCAGATCAATTTAATCATGAGGTAAATATTTTAATGTGCAAATCACCATATACACCACAAGTGCTCTCTAAAATACACAGAAAAAGGGGGTACGTGCAAATTATATGGGAAATCATGCTTGTTCGTGCTGACAAAAGTTAATATAAGATGATACTGATACAAAAAGAGATAGATTCCTTTAAATATATTCCATATACTACAACTTATTTATAAAAGTTTGTAAGAGAATGCATATAATGGCTTTTGTAATGCAAGAGGAAGTTGAGAAAAAAATCCAAAAACAGCCGTGTAAATACCATCTGATTCATATCCTGTTCTCATTTCAGTATCTATATCAAAAATGAAAAATGGCACCGTTAGCAGAACAACAGGGAAGCTTACAGTTAGATGCATAAATATAGCAAAAAAGATCAGGCGAAAAAAGATATTGAGTTAGTTCTAGCAATATTATAATGAGCTAATTAAGAGGAAATAACAT